TATACAGGTACACAGACTAGTGAGTACAGTCCTCTGTATACAGGTACACAGACTAGTGAGTACAGTCCTCTATATACAGGTACACTGACTAGTGAGTACTGTCCTCTGTATACAGGTCCACAGACTAGTGAGTACTGTCTTCTGTATACAGGTCCACTGACTAGTGAGTACAATCCTCTATATACAGGTACACAGACTAGTGAGTACAGTCCTCGGTATACAGGTACACAGACTAGTGAGTACAGTCCTCTATATACAGGTACACTGACTAGTGAGTATTGTCCTCTATATACAGGTCCACAGACTAGTGAGTACTGTCCTCTATATACAGGTCCACAGACTAGTGAGTACAGTCCTCGGTATAAAGGTCCACAGACTAGGAGTACTGTCCTCTATATACAGGTACACTGATTAGTGAATACTGTCCTCTATATACAGGTACACTGACAAGTGAATACTGTCCTCTATATACAGGTACACTGACTATTGAATACTGTCCTCTATATACAGGTACACTGACTAGTTAGTACAGTCCTCGGTATAAAGGTCCACAGACTAGTGAGTACTGTCCTCTATATACAGGTACACTGACTAGTGAGTACTGTCCTCTATATACTGGTCCACTGATGAGTTAGTACTGTCCTCTATATACAGGTACACTGACTAGTTAATACTGTCCTCTATATACAGGTACACTGACTAGTGAGTCCTGTCTGCTATATACAGGTCCACAGACTAGGAGTACTGTCCTCTATATACAGGTCCACAGACTAGTGATCATGAGTACTGTTCTCTGTGAGCATATAAGACATTGGTTTCTTACAAAGTTTTGGTCTATAAGCTGTTCATTAATATCAAGGATGGATAACCCTGGACTATATTTTATGTTTACCATCCTTTGTACACAGGAGTATTAAGTTTGAACTATATTTGTCTGCTTGTGTCATTACAGCTCTGTACTGGTATGGGATACTCGGCCTGCAAAAGGCCCCGGACAAATCATTACCACAAAGGAGAGTGACAAAGGCCCCAAAAACCCCATAGGTGTGCCCAACACCTTTAAACATCTTGATCTGTCATGGAAACCTATTCTCAAGGTTTGTCACACTGAATATAGCGGTGTTTTATGTTAAATAAGAGAGATACACATTTTTCACTTGCTGACAGAGCTCAGCCTAGTCTGTGTTCAGCCATCTGTTGGTGAATTAAATGTGATATATCTTTAGGCTTATAGTTAGAAGACTTCATTCATTTTGGTTAGCAGATATTATACATTTTTTTTTTGATTTGATATTTATCATTTTTTGGGTATATACATGATAATAGAAATTCAGCATACTTGACCATAATTTATGTTTTTGCCCCTAACAAATTTTCACCCTTTTATCTTTTAAAAAATTCTGCTGTGTTAACAAAATGATGAAAATGAAATGATCAAAATTGTTCATTTAACGTTATATGTAGGAGTTTGCACAATGTTTTATATATGTTTTTAAGGTGACACTACACAAATCTGAGCCTGGAGGTGATCACAGTCCCACAAAGTTTACCATACAGGAAAAACAGGGAGACCGTGGCTCCTGTAAGTATGGGAATTCTGTGAACAAAGGAACCTTAATCGATAGTGTGGGTGGACTTACCGACACTTACTATACATTATGTTTATCATAAGCTGAAAAATTGTATTTTGATATACTTACTTTCCAGATATTAAATATTTGACCTTATAACTAAATGCATGTCTTAGTTGTAGGGGTCCTAGGTACAGCTCTATAATACAATCAGCTGTACTTATGGGGTACCTAGGTACAGCTCTATAATAAAATCAGCTGTACTTATGGGGTACCTAGGTACAGCTCTATAATAAAATCAGCTGTACTTGTGAAGGATCTAGGTAAAGCTCAATAATAAAATTAGCTGTACTTGTGGGGGACGTAGGTATAGCTCATTAATAAAATCAGCTGTACCTGTGGAGGACGTAGGTATAGCTCATAAATAAAATTAGCTGTACTTGTGGGGGACGTAGGAAAAGCTCAATAATAAAATCAGCTGTACCTGTGGAGGACCTACGTATAGCTCATTAATAAAATCAGCTGTACCTGTGGAGGACGTAGGTATAGCTCAATAATAAAATCAGCTGTACTTGTGGGGGACCTAGGTATAGCTCAATAATAAAATTAGCTGTACTTGTGGGGGACCTAGGTACAGTTTTATAATAAAATTAGCTGTACTTGTGGGGGACCTAGGTACAGTTTTATAATAAAATCAGCTGTACTTGTGAAGGACCTAGGTAAAGGTCATTAATAAAATTAACTGTACTTGTGGGGGACCAAGGTATAGCTCTATAATAAAATTAGCTGTACTTGTGGGGGACCTAGGTACAGTTTTATAATAAAATTAGCTGTACTTGTGGAGGACGTTGGTATAGCTCAATAATAAAATTAGCTGTACTTGTGGGGGACCTAGGTATAGCTCAATAATAAAATTAGCTGTACTTGTGGGGTACCTAGTATAGCTCAATAATAAAATTAGCTGTACTTGTGAAGGACCTAGGTAAAGCTCAATAATAAAATCAGCTGTACTTGTGAAGGATGTAGGTAGAGCTCATTAATAAAATCAGCTGTACTTGTGAAGGACCAAGGTATAGCTAAATAATAAAATCAGCTGTACTTGTGGAGGACCTAGGTATAGTTCAATAATAAAATCAGCTGTACTTGTGGAGGACCTAGGTAGAGCTCAATAATAAAATCAGCTGTGCTTGTGAAGGACCAAGGTATAGCTCAATAATAAAATCAGCTGTACTTGTGAAGGACCTAGGTATAGCTCAATAATAAAATCAGCTGTACTTGTGGAGGACCTAGGTAAAGCTCAATAATAAAATTAGCTGTACTTGTGGGGGACCTAGGTATAGCTCAATAATAAAATCAGCTGTACTTGTGGGGGACCTCAACACTTGGGTCCGTTCTATGAGAGAATAAGCTGTATTTCAGTAAGTATCTAGCAATACAACTTATTCAATTCTTACTGTCATTTCATATATAGATTATACAAAATATGATTTTAGTTGTTTTCTTATTATTTTTTAATCATTGTTTTGAGACTTTGTGTAAAAGTCAACCTTTTACTGTGTTAAGTAATTTATGTGTCTCTTTTGACTACATAAATTACAGTCAATGGGTAGAGATACAAAATACTGTTTGGTGATCTTATCAGCAATACAGCATTTTTTGCTAAAAGTAGGTATATACCATTTCATTCTGTATATAAATACAGAAATTTATTCTTAATCAAGTATGTTTACATTATTCTGTAAACAATTGATTTATTATATTCATTGTTATATAACCAAATATACCTTTGTTTTGTTCTTGTTAGATGTTTAAAACATATTTTACTTTTAATATTGAATTGCTTAAGTTCATACATTGAATATTTTGTCAGTTAATAATGCTCAGAATTTAAGAATTTCTATATATGTTTATATTCTGACATATGTTAAATAAATAATCCCATGTATGTTGTACTTTGCAGTAGGCAAAGCCATGGATGGTGTAGACACGTCAAAGGACCCAGCCATGGGGGGTGGCTATTACACAAAGCCAGGGTCTGGCAAGGACAAGAGAACACTGCAGAGTGTCAAGACTCATTTCTATGTTGGCACAGAGGTACTTGTCCTCCAGGTCCCTCGGGTCATGTCCCACCTTCAGTTCGGGGGTGGGGCCTCTGTCCCCACAATGGACCACACCCTGCCCTTATTGCCAGGGTGGGGCGTGGGGCCCTGAAATAGCACATAATGTTTATGAGTCTGGACTCTCTGTAGTCTTCTATTTCTGACTTGCACAGCACCTGTTTGCATGCACGACAAACTTGTCATTCTGTCTATAGCTATTTATCTTTATCGTTTGTCTGTCTTGCTGACGCACATTCGTATACACCCACGGGGTTTATACAGAGCACTACACAGTTAGCTAACTCTCTATCTCGAGGCTGAACTCTTTGTGTTGCATAAAGTACAGGAAAGTCATCTCGCATTTCACATTGTTTAATACTTGTGTGTAGATTATAATGTTTATATAATTGTGACAATGTTGACGTATAGAATTATTGCGTACCAGTAGTATTATGCTGTATCTTTATAGAAAATAAGATCAATTTAACACCTGAACGTTTCCCAAACCAGCTCTGTTTTGTGTAGTCTAGCCAACAATTTCCCCCCAAAATGGTCGTCTCCATTTCCATGGTCACAGTGGCAATTAAAACAGTGTTATGTTTAGTATTCTATTTCTCCATCCCAGAAATTACCTTGATTTAAACTAGCTTTATAAGACATTCGCAAGTTTTGCATACAAGAACAAAATCTAGTGCTTTATCATATTGGCCAGGAAATAGGAACTATAAAAGAGAAAAAAAAATGATTAACTGATAAATCAAGCATTATTAATTTATCTAGATTTTGTCTTGATATGTGATACATAATGATGAATACTTCGATTTTTCTGATGGATTGAAAAACTTATTTTATAAGGTTTGGAATTGTAATTAGAATATTGTCTCTTCCAGTGTTAGGTTTTCAATTCATTGAGAGTTGGTTTGGGGGTGTGAGAATGCTGCCCCCCCCCCCCCCCCCCCCAGTGTTAGCTCGCCAGTAGTGCCTTGTATATATATGTCTGCTTTATAAGACTACATGTCTGGGTCCATCACTGCCACGCTGTGTTACTACCTCATGATCCACCATTTCCACACTGTAATACTTTCTTGCCCTTTTGTTTTCCGTATTTAACCTGTTAACACATATAATGTTTCCTTTTGTACTTTTATTTCACATCCCATTCAATTTTTAATTACCTTCAATTAAACCTGCTGTTAACAAGTACTATATTTATATCCTATTTGATACCTATGACCTTACTACCAGATACATTTTCTGATAACAGATATTAAAAAACCTGGTTTCAGACCTTTTTATGCCCCCGCCATAAAATGGGGGGGGGGGGGGGGATATAGTGTTGCCCATGTCCGTCCCGTCCAGGAGTGGGGGCATTTTTGTCTTACAGACATTTTCTAGTCTTTAAATAAATATTGTAGCTATTTGAAACTTGAACCCTCACTCCCTTCCTACAGACATGAAAAACCCGCCAAAAATGTTGATGCAACGTATTATGGTACGTGTAGCACCCACCACACTTTGATTTCTGCAAGATAACTTGCTTAAATATTGTTTGGTTTTTATTTTACTCAATAAACATAAACAATATACAAAGACTGAGGATGATTTCAAAATCTGTGCATAATTAATGAGCATAATGTGCTCTGATTGGTCAACATCCACACTTCAGTCTCCGCAAGAGAATAAATATTGTTCAACTTTTATGAATCTTGTAAAGCACTTTACATTATACAAAGACTGAGGCTTAGTTCGAAGTTGAAAAAAATCCACACATTATTCATTAGCATACTGCTCTCTGATTGGTATAGAGTTTTTGTGCAATAACTTAGTCAAATTAATATAACCGGATGCTGATGAAACTTTGTCAATACATGTACTAATAAGGACAAATTTAAGGGAAGTAATTTCTCTTCAAATTCTTTTTCTAAAGTCTATGACATATATATTCCTTTAGCTTAAGTTGGTCAAGTACAGTATGTTTTTTCCTTTCATCACATCCCAGGAATAATCATCAACTTCATAGAGAAATTCAGTACAAAAGTAGCTTGTTGCTACATTTATATACTGGGTACCGCACATGGATTTGCATACATTTAAATACCGTAATGCACGAGAAGGATTTTAAGGACATCAAGTTGGCATGGAGGGGGCATATACTGTTCAGCCCTGTGTCCCTCTTGTGTAATGCGTGGGAATTAAAAAGGTTTAATACGTGAAAATCAATTCAATTTAGACATATCTGTCATTTAGAATTTCTGTGGTCTTCAGGTATGTGATACCCTCAAACAGTGACACTATTACATCTCATAACTTACGTATACATAGGCCTTAACTTAGGTCCCAACATTGCTAGGTAATGTCTGATTGCTTAAAATAACATAAATATATATATATTGAACTGTGTGTTATTTGAATATTATATTATAAATAGCATTCTGAATACCCTCAAAACCTTATTACTCCTCTGTTAGCCCCCAGTCCCCCTAAACATTAATCAATTTACTTCTCGGTGTTGGTCCCCTATTACCCTAAACACTACTGTTCTCATTTTGGTGTCCGTCCCTTCCTAAACACTATAGTTTACCTTTTTGGTATCCATCCCCTTTTGCCCTAAACACTACCTCTAAACATAGCCATATCGGTCAGTCCTCTGTCCCCTTATTAACTCATTCACCCCTGAAATTTCATAATGAATTATTCCAACCATTGAATTGGAAGAGTTCAAATGTGTCTTCAGGGGTGAATGAAGTTAAACACCAGTGTACAGTGAGGACCAGTGTACAGTGAGGACCAGACATGTGATCTATAACTACGACATTGACCTGTGTACTATCGCAGTAGATATCTATACACAGAATGTAGACTGAGTAGGTAACTTTGTCTGCCATGATGTTAATCAATTGCATGTTCTTTCTATACTCACAGGTAAACTTTTTCACTGCAGCATGTTGTGTTGTTTATATCCAGTTTGTGGTGTTTCTGTAATAACATTAATTACTGTTTCTATCTGTCTCTGCCTCTCTACATTAATATTGCATGGTGTGAGTGTGCATGAATGCATGCGCTTTGTATGCACTGTTTAACTCTACAGAACTCTTCCCAGTAACACTGCTGATATATACACTGGTTTCAGGACCAAAGTTGATGGTTATAACATGTTTGTTTGATCGAGCAGAGTTTGTACAAACATTATACAATTAACTTTATTACTATTTATCAGGGTAATAGTTTCTGATAACATACATAATGTGTTTCTTAACTCATTCACCCCTGAAATTTCACAATGACCTATTCCAACCTTTGAATTGGAAGAGTTCAAACATGGTTTCTGGGGTGAACGAGTTAAAAGCATGTTTCTTCAACTGAAAAGAATTTGTTAATTAACACTGTTTACACTTGCATCTTTTTATTAATAATAAATGAATTATGTATACATACAAATAACCCTATTTACTAGTTTCTTCATCTCATCTTTTATATTTATAGTATAATTTACTGTTCTTTGAGGAATTTTGATCTGATAAAGTTTCTACAATACTGGGTGGTTTATAGTGTAGTGTTATACATGTATTGGGTGAGAATGTGAGAAAGTCTTGTGAATTAGGTAGACATACATTTCATTGGGTGAGAATGTGAGAAAGTCTTGTGAATTAGGTAGACATACATTTCATTGGGTGAGAATGTGAGAAAGTCTTGTGAATTAGGTAGACATACATTTCATTGGGTGAGAATGTGAGAAAGTCTTGTGAATTAGGTAGACATACATTTCATTGGGTGAGAATGTGAGAAAGTCTTGTGAATTAGGTAGACATAC